CCCCCCCACCCTTCGACATGCTGTTGGAATCCCTCTCCATCTCGCTTGGTCAGGTTAAGGTGGCGACGGTCAAGCATCTCTGGGAGAAAGTGGCAGCCATTCGCCGCGTTAAGGCGGTCGGCAGTGAGGATCTCAAGGTACCTTGACCTTCCCGTACGGTACAGAGCCCTGCTCGTTGTAAGCTGAACGGGTTGCAACGGGCTGCCTGAACCGTTTCTACTACAAGCATGTGTTCCTGCTGTGGCGGGCGATTGTTTCTGGCCTGCCGAGTTTGTTTGTGTGTGTGTGTTTTCCGTCGCTGCTCGTGCTTGCCCAAATAACTCCTCGCTCTCGTCTTCCGTGTGTGCAGACACCACCGTGGTGACGTTTACTGTTTCACCGCCATCAACATTCATCCGTGCGTGTACATGTGTGCGCGTTGCCTGCCGTTGTTGCTGTTGCTGTTGTTGTTATCGCCAACAGGCTCATCTTGACGAGGCGGTATCCGCCCGCGACAGCCTGTCTAGGTTGGCGGAGGACCAGCAGGAGCAGATCGACAGGCTCAGGAGGAGAGCTAAGCGGAAGGAGGAGGAGATCACTAAGGTTAACGAATTCACCGACTGCATGAACGTGCAGTGTTTTTTTCTATTTTTGTATTATTGTGGTGCAATGGGTGTGCGTACGGACCAAACCTTTCACAAGAGTATTTCCATGAAATTTTTTTGCTCGCGCGCTTTTTACGTCATTCCCTTCTGTTGAAACCCCCTTCCCTTGACTTGCGTATCCTGCCTCCTCCACACTCCTCTTTTTTTCTTCAACGCTGATTTTCCTGCTACTGACATCGTGTCTCGCTGCGTTCCTCCTCTCGTATGTGTGTTCTTTTTGTTTGTTTCTTGGGGTGCTTGTTTTCAGACTGTCCTTGCCAGGCTGCAAGCGCAAGAGGCGTCGGGTTCGTCCGTGATCGATGACGACGAGATGAGCCTCGGCGATGCCGCTAGGGGAGACGACAGCCGCGGCGGCGGCGGCGGCGGCAGGGATTCGCTCGACAGCGCAGCGGGCACGACGAGGGGAGCCAGCGCGGCGCTGAGGTCTCAGCTCGCCGACATCAAGGTAGGCGGGGGATGCCAAGTTCTGGATGTGTTCTTGGCGTGCTGAAATAGGAAAGTGTAGTCGGTACCATAGACCATAGACCCCGCATTTCTACGGTGCCAGGACGGGGCGATATGCCGGGTTTTAGCCGCGGCCCAAGCGAGGGGGCGCGCTCATGTATTTTATGCCGTAGCGGTACGACCATTGGGGACGGGGGATGGTACTTTCCCTTGGCGCTGTTGTGTGCATGTGGGGGGGTGTTTGGTTGAGTGATGTGGGTCTCTCGATAATCCTCGTGGTTAACTATTGAACGCCTTTTGGACCCCGCAGGGGGGGGCATTGTTTGTTCAACGTCAGGAGGGGGGATTGTTTGTTGACCGACGACCAACGCGGTGGTTCAGCGTGGTCGCCTTGTTTTTGCTTCCCCCGTCGCATGTGTGCTGCTTTTCCACGCGACTTGGAATGAACGCGTCCGTCACGATGGCCTCGCTGGCTCGAATTCGTTCTTCCAGACTGATCGTCAGAGGTTGTTGGTAGGGGTGTCTCGAGCAATTGCATCGGGAAGCCCCAACTTATTTGCCGGCATGTGTCGAGGTTTGGTAGCTTCTAGTGATGATAGTTCGCACTGCTCAATCTTGTCCTTGTCGAGGCCTGGCCACCGGGCTGCTCCTCAGTCGTTGGATGCATGACACGCGGCTGGCTGCTTCGATAGACAGTGAACATTGCTGCTGGTTCTGGTGCTCGCTGCTGGTGTTGGTTTGCTGCTGTTTTGAGGCCGAGCATGTGATTGATACCGGTGCTGGTTGAGAGACCGTGATGCTCATTCAATCCTTGCTTCTTGATGATGCCGAGTGCATCGCGATGAATGAATGGGTTCAGTGAATTGACAACCAGCACTGCCCTTCCTGCTTGCTCTCTCAATGTCGGTTTCTTCCGTTTGTTCCTTCTTGTTTTGAAGGCCGAGCGTATGGACCTAATGTGCAAGTGCCAGCGGCAGGAGCAGCAAGTGGCCGACCTGCGCAGGCTGGTGGACGAGATCGCCAAGCTCGAGTCCGGCGCTCCAGACGCCGCTGCCTCCGGCGGTGGCGGGGGCGACAACTGGGAGACTCAGTCGGGGTGCTCGGACCTCAGCGGAGTGAGTTGTTGTTCGTGCAAGTGTGGTACACGTCAAGTTTGCGCCTTGTGTGCGCGGTTACGTCTGGTATTGTAGGTGGACGGGGACTGGTGTCCATGCCTTGTGCGTGGTTGGGTCTGGTGTTTTGTGTTATTCTGGTGGACTAGAGAAGGGTGTCCGTGTCGCCTTGGGGATCGTGTCTTGACGTTGACGGCACTCGGCGGGTTGTTTTTGTTTTTAATACACACCCACCTAATTTTAGGAAGCCGCTCGATTCACACACGTTCGCACCTGGTCTGTTGTGTTGGTGGATGGGAGAAAGGTATGCCCTTTCCGCCTCGGGGGTCGTGTCTTGGCGTGGACAGCACTCGGTGGACTGCTCTGTTGGGGGGGTGGGTCGACGTCAGTGAAGTGTGATCACCCCATGTGTCCCTGATCGAGGCGTCAACCATTCACACCTGGAGTTGCTTGTCCTTCAATTCCCACGTGAGCTTTATCTAAACCTTGCTTTGCCCTCCTACCCCCCCCCTCCCCCCTCCGGTGTTTGCCATTTGGATTGGGTTTTCGTCGCTTGGCAAGGACGTTGTAGAACACGCCAATTCACTTCGTGAACTCGGCAACCAGGTTACCGTTTTTTTTTTTACCTCTTGTTTTTTTTTGGCGGCAACCATAATGGTCGAGTNGCAACGACGTTGTAAAACAAGCCAATTCACTTCGTGAACTCGGCAACCAGGTTACCGTTTTTTTTTTTACCTCTTGTTTTTTTTTGGCGGCAACCATAATGGTCGAGTGGATCATACTGTGCGGGGTGGAGAAGCCTCACTCCGCACAAGGGGGATGATCGCACCACGTTGTGTTAAAATGGTCAA